ATTAAGGCAGTTCTGAAGGCGAAAGGGGGTCAAACACCGTATTAGTATGGTGTTCCTAATAATCCTTTAGGTGAGTGTGTGTGTGTGTGTGTGTGTGTGTGTGTGTATATATATATATATATATATATATACACACACACACACACACACTTGTTTTGTATTTGGATTTTGTGTGTGTGTTTTTGACCACCCAAATTTCACATTTCATTAACCAGTTTTACAGGGCTATATTCTTAGATATTTTGTATGTTGCTAAGTCCTTTAAATGCCTCATCTGTTTGAAGTTACCAAGTGAAGTGTAATTAAATATAAATCAGTAGTTTATTAAAAAGCATTTATTTATTGTTTATAGTAAAAGTAAAAATAAACTTTATTGATATCAATTGTGTAGCCATTGTGGTTTATGATGTCACTGGGCCTGTTATGGCCAAAATCAGAAAATCCATGTCTGGCCCGTCTCAGGGCCATCATTCTTTGCGGTACCTGGGCCAGAGGAAAATGAATAGCGTGGGTCGGATCTGACCCAAAAGAATTTTGCTATCTGGGGGGCTTCACAGCTTAAGAGCCATACAGAACTGAGCACGTTTTTGATGACAATCTTGTACGACACCCATATGCCGCTGTCTTCGGTCTCCGGTCCTGTATTTGGCACAACGTTTCATTAACTATTTTGTACTACTTCTACAGCCACAGCAACATCATCAACAACTACAACTATACTACTACTACTACTAATAATAATAATAATAATTTGTATTATTATTGTTATTATTATTATTGTATTAATTTGTTTGTTCTAATCGTTTAAGTTTCAAAAAGTTATTTTAGTCTTGCAGGTAGGGACTCAACTAAATTACATTCGGCCAGCGAACCCTTATTCTATACCTTTATGTATTTGATCTTGTGTTGCTTTTTTTTTTTGATTACACGACATGTCTTACAAAATTGTCCATTGTTCAGTATATATGACGATTATTTTTACTGAAAGATATCAATGATATTTCAGATATTTTTAGAACGATTTTTGGTAGAGCCAGACACAAGCCATTAAAATTAATGCAATCTGACACTTCGGAAAATCGACCATCTGTAACCAGAGCACAGGAACAAAACGCCTTCTGAACTCGCTCGACTATAACAGATCTTGGCTTCGTGTGTACTAGGCTAACTATACAAAACAAAAAAGAAAACAACCCGCTGGGGAGTGAACTGTAGACAGGAGTGCTGAAGGGACACCGAGATACCGGCAGCCATTGCTTTTTAACCTGTTGTTTAAATTTCATTCCAGTTTTTTGGTCCATATTTTTTTCGCTTATTTTAAAAGGCAAGTAGCCGAAGACAAATTCTGTCTGAGGCTTGATAAATTTAACAGATGCATTATGGTATTTTTAAAGGCAGTTTGGGAGAGATGAAGATCGGCCTTTTTCACGGAATAAAGCTGCTAAATTAAAGATATCATTCAATTCAATTCAATTTTATTTATATAGCGCATTATCACAACATTACATTGTCTCAATGCGCTTTACATTTCTGCCTCGTAAGGACCCCCCAGTGAGTAAGCCAAAGGCAACGGTGGCAAGAAAAAACTCCCTAAGAGGAAGAAACCTCATCGACGCTTAACGTCAAAGTTTAATTGGAATATGTATTTTCGTGGACATGAACCATTTAGACATGAACAAATAGAAAAAATAGGCTATTAGTTCTTGTCACCAGCGTCCCCATGTGTCTGTTTGCTGAAACAACACAGTACTGTCTCGGTCACTGGCACACAGAGGAAATGACGTTCAGGAGCGTGACTTTCCATTGGCTGGCTTTGTGAACGCGTCACTTCCGCCGGGATTCACGATTTGGCGCGGAAAGTTGCTGTTTTGGGGGAAAGTGTCTGTGTGGCAGCAAGTGGGACAGAGTGATTTTATGGATCCAGTTTGCGATGCCGACAGGGACGTGGACGTCTCGGATGGCGGTCCGTATCGGGGCCACCGTGGGGGGGATGGTGCGCCGTGCGTTCGGGGCGTGCGAATAGCGGAAAGGATACGCAGTTTCCAGACTGCTTCACTGTACTGCGCGCGCCCTACTCGCGCTTTGTGTCTTAAAGGATGCCGGTTTTTCTCGTCGCCGTGTTTTGATTGGGAAAAGGGTACTTTATAAATACCATATCCGTGGTATAAATAAGTAGTATTTTGACATTTGAAGTGTCCGTCAGAAGCAGTTGTTTCAGTAAGACACTGAAGAATCTTTAGGGCCGGGCCCGATTGATACACGAGCGGTCTGTCCGGAATCCAGCGCTATGGTAAACGCTGGGAATTCGGCTGGGCCGATGCTCAAGGTTCCGCATTCACAATTTACATGTGCTATCATTTTTAGTGGTAATTTAATATTAAACCATGTAAGATTAGTTACATGTTACCATAACACCCACACAAGTGTAATTTAACAAAGAAGCAGGTGGGTGGCATCATGTACCTAACCTTGGTGTTACTGTCCCCCTGTCACTGTCCCCTTCCCCTGTCAGTGTACCCTTAACCCCGGTCTCACTGTCCCTTGCAGACAGAGGCATCGCCACATCACGCTCTCGGCGGGAGAAGAAGGAGAAGGTGGGCAGGAAGGCGGCACTGGAGATGGTGAGGAAAGCAAAGCGTGGCGAGAAGCTCAAGTATGAGGTGAGGGGGTGTCTGTATATGTATCTATATGTCTGTGTGTCTATCTGTGTCTGTCTCTCTGTGTCTCTATATCTCTCTGTTTCTGTCTGTTAATGTGGCAGTTTCCGTGGCTATCTGCCGGTGTCTAACCCAAATCCTGTGCAGGTGGAAGAGCTGAGCAGCGTCTACGACGTGGTGGATGAGGACCAGTACTCCCGCATGGTACAGGAGCGCCAGGAGGATGACTGGATCATCGATGATGGTGTGTGTTTGGGCCCCACTGTAGCTGCAGACTCTGCCTTAGGGCCTCCTGTGTATGCCCTTGTTGATATCATCGCCACCCAAAGTAGTGATGTCACGCGTCACATTGTTATGCATCCCCCTTCCTTAGATGGCACTGGCTATGTGGAGGATGGCAGGGAGATCTTTGACGAGGACCTACAAGATGATGCTCTGGGCGACAGATATAAAGGTGTGAGTTGTGGTGAATTTGACTGGGAGGGTGTGTCCTACTTTGCGGGTGTGTCCTCCTAACTGGTTGCCCTTGCAGGTAAAGCTGGTGCTAAGGATTCGGCCTCCAAGGATAAGAAGGTGCTGAAGAAAGCTGCTGTGGCCAAACCCAACAGCATCAAGAGCATGTTCATGGCCAGCAGCATGAAGAAACCTGTTGAGGTCAGACACCATAAGAAACGTGGTGTTTGTTGGCGGGTGGGGGGGTCTGCATGTGCTCACTGAGGTCCGTCTGCCGTGTCCTGCAGAAAGATGTTGACCTGTCCAGCGATGCCCTGCTCGGAGACATCCTGCAGGACCTCCTTTCTGAGGTAGACTCGCTTACTTCCTCGCTCTTTCTCGGTCGACAGCCCTCTTCTTGGGTTAATGCCCCTCCCTCCCTTTTGCCTGCTCTGTGCAGAAACCAGCTGTCCTGACTCCGCCCCCGGTCGTCACTCTGAGGAAGAAGCGGGCCATGGGAGTTCCTATGAATCAGTTTGCCATCAAACCACAGACCCCCAAGGTAGCTGAGAGCGTCCCTTGTCTGTCCCCAGCACGTGTATAAATCACTGATCCTTACTTGACCGTGGATGCCCCGCTCACAGGAAACTCCTCCCACTCCTCCTCCGGGGTCTAAGGTCAAGTCTGTTACCAGGGTGGTGCCTGACAGGCCGTTACCCTCTTCTGCAGCGAGGATCCCGGCAACCCATGCCAAGGGGGTGAAGGTGGAGGAACTGGTAGCAGGTGGGTGAACTACTGGGGAGGGGAGGTGCGCACTGACTGCCAGTGTGCTGGATGCAGTGTCTGCTGTACTTCGAGGACATTGTCATGGTGAGCGTGTGTGTGTCTGTGTATTTGTGTTGGGGGGTGGGTCTCAGGATGTCTGTCATGGGGGTCTACAGGCATGGGGGTGTTCCGTCACTCAGGTCAATGCAATCGGTCCCCAGGGGAGCACGAGCACGACGCTGCCCTGCAGTTTGATGAAGGTGACTTTGACGAGCCCATGGAGGTTGAAACCAAGGAAGAGGAGGAGGAGGAGAAAGTGATGAAGGCCAAGATGGAAGCCAGTGTCAAAACAGAACCCAAATGTGAATTTCAGGACCCTGGGCAGCAGTGAGTGTCAAGAGCTGAATGGGTGTGTGTGTGTGTGTGTGTGTGTGTGTGTGTGTGTGTGTGTGTGTGTGTGTGTGTGT